ATTATACAGTAACTTTTTAATATATGTTTTTGTTAATTATATTATTTGATTTTATAATACATATTATTATTTATTATCATCTTAAAATTAATATTTTTTTAATGTAATCGTAATTTGAAAACATATGTATTTATTGTTAGAATTTCGAGGTAATAAACGCATTTGGATATTCTGAGAATTGTGATTTCACTTTTAAATCAAAGTATATAGATGGTACTTCCTAATCTTTGATTGGATAAGACTCGGAAGAGATTCAGAACAGAGATTGAGATAGGGATGAGCGTGGGACGGAACCGTTACCGACCCGTACTGTTCCCGATTTCCCGAAAACCGAATTTTATCGAAAGTAAATCCCGAGTACCGAACCGAATTAACATCACCAGTATATGGTTGATGACTTATTTTATGGTTGATGGTGTATGGTTTAGGGCTTAGGCCATATGATTTACATCTTAAGGTTTGTGGCTTAAGCCTTAAGTTGTAAACCTTAAGCTCTAAGCCATAGGCTATACATCGTAATTCTTAAGTCATAAGCCATAAGCCATAATCCATAATCCATAAGCTATAATAATCCATAAGCCATAAACCATAAACTAGAAGCCATAAGCCACAAGCCATAAGTCATAACCTATAAGCCATAGGAAATAGGCCCAAAGCCCTAATCTTTAAGCCATAAACCATAATCCATAAGCCATAAGCCATAAGCCATAAACTAGAAGCCATAAGCCACAAGTCATAAGTCATAACCTATAAGCCATAAGTAATAAGCTCGAAGCCCTAATATTTAAATCCTAAGCCATTGGTCATAAGCCATAAGCCATAAGCCACAAGCCATAAGCCATAAGCCACAAGCCTAAGTCATAAACCTTAAGACATATATAACTCTAAAACCCCAATTCATACATGAGAGGTTATAAGCTTGTGGGAATAAGTATACAAGCCAATGGACTAAACTCGCAACAAAACAAAACTATTGGACCATCCTTGCAAGCCAAACCCATTTTGGACCAAACTTGCTAGTTTTGACATACCACAGGGACCAAATTTGCAATTTTGTCATATAGGTAATGGTATGTAATGGTATGTATGTAGTCATGAGCCAAAAGTCTTAAGCCCTTAGTCCTATACATCAAGTCCTAACTCATAAGAAATAATTCATACACCAAAAGTCATATGACTTAAACCCTAAGCCTTGCTACATAAGCCATAAGCCATGACATATGAGCCAAAAGCCATAAACCATAAGCAATATGCCTTAAACCCTAACTTTTAAGCACTAAACCATAAGCCATGGCATATGAGCCATAAGCCATAAGTCATAAACCATAAGCCATGACATATGAGCCATAGGCCTTAATCACCTAAGCCCTAAGCCTTAAACCCTAAGTCATAAGCCTTAAGCATTAAGTTATAAGCCATAAACCATAAGCATAAGCACTTATCCATAAGCCATAAGCCATAAGCCATAAGCGATAAGCCATAAGCACTAAACCTTATCTCCTAAGCCATAAGCCTTATGCCCTAAGCCATACATCAGAAGCTACAAACCATATCCCCTAATCCATCAACAATAATCCATAATCCGTAATTCATAAGCCATACGACCTTAACCATAATCCATAAGAAATAAGAAATAAGACTTAACCCATAAGACCTAAACCACAAGCACTAAGCAACAAACCATAAGATATAAGTTGTAAGCCCTAAGCCTTGAGTGACAAACCATAATCCCTAAGCCCTTAGCCCTAACACATAAACTATAAGCCTTAAGCCCTAAACCATACCACCTTTAACCATAAGATATAAGACACAAGCAATAAGCAACAAACCATAAGATGTAAGTTATAAGCCCTAAGAGTTGAGTTACAAACCATAATCCCTAAGCCCTAAACCTAATCCCTAAGCCCTTAGCCCTAACACATAAAATATAAGCCTTAATCCCTAATCCATACCACCTTTAACCATATGCTACAAGCCATGAGCGATATTCCATACATCATAAGATTTAAGTTGTAAGCACTAAGCCTTTAGCCATAAGCCATAGTCTATAATCCATAAACCCTAAACCATAGGCCATAAGAATAATCCCTACACCTTACGCCTTAAGCAAGGTGCCATAAGAAATATCTAGTAATCCATAAACCATAAACCATAAGCCAAAATCCCTAAGTCCTACAACATAATCCCTAAGTCATACACCTTAAGCCTTAAACCATAAGTATTAATCTATAAGCAATATGTTATAAGCATTAACTAAACCCTAAACCATTAACCAAAAGCTACAAGTTTGCCCCAAAATGGGTTTGGCTTGCAAGAATGGTCCAATAGTTTCGTTTTGTTGTGAGTTTAGTCCAATGGCTTGTACACTTATTCCAACAAGCTCATAACTTCTCATGTATGAATTGGGGTTTTAGAGTTATATATGTCTTAAGGTTTATGACTTAGG